AAATAATTACCGCAGTTACTGAACAGAGTAATTTGAAATATTATGTATAGAATTTTCAATTGCGTAGATAGGACAACGAACTCTCTACGTATGTTGTTTTTCTTGTCGCGCGGGTATCGTGCGACGTTACGCGGGCCTTTGTTTACGTGAAGGTCGCCGCACTATCACTCGCTCGCTGAACGTCGAGCCGGCAAGCAGTGGCGAGAGTCGCTCCGTGCGTGTTATTACTTTTGCGTTATCGGTTTCCAAGACTCGATCGCGATGAATGAAGGGATAAAACGCTATTGATTTGCACACCTTTATCAGTAACAAGTAACGTTCCTCGGTTAATTATTAAGTGTCTACAACTTGTAATGAGAAACGAATTGTTGTCGAGGCGACGGCTCTTTATCAACGTATACATACATATTTCACGACACTGAAATATGAATGTAAACGGTGGTACTTTGTCGCAGATTATACTTTCGATGCTCGCGTTGCGTTTTATATCGCCAATTCAAAAGTGATTTATCCATTCTTTCGAATCGAAAGTGCAAGTTGTTAGCTTGAGTAATTTGTATGACAGAAAGTCACGCGATATCTGTTAAATAATATTTCGTGCGTTTCGCGGTAATTCACATCGCGTACGGGAGTGCCCGAAATTTCGCGCGATCGTGGATTTTCGCGAGTGAGTGTGTGTGAGTGCAACAAGGAAATCTGAGAGGAGGAGGAGGCATCGAGGCAACGGCAGAGCAATCGTAAGGTGAGTGTTTTACATTTTTATATTATTTGCTACTTGTGCAAAATAAAGCCGTGCAAATTACCAGCCCTACTAAATAACGCAATTAATCGAAAATAAGTTTGATAAATTATATAATTGGTTTTAATACAATTGCTGTTGATATACTTGATGTATATTAAAAATATTAAACGTGATAATTTGATAGATAATCTTCTAAGCATGTAGATATATCTTAAAACAGTCGTTATAAAAGCGAATGAAACAGTAATAGGAGCGAGGGAGATGAGAATAACAGCAAGCGAAAAAGGCTTGAGGATCGGGATTCTCGCTCGCTCGCGGTATGAAAAACAACTCGCGTACTCGCGTAAACTACACGGTCGGTCTCGCGCGCGCGGTTCTAGCTATATTCCGATAAAATTTTATGGCTTATACTTGGCGCGAGGCACTACCGTGTCTCGTAATATAACTCTTTCGTGTTCCGACATTTCATGCATGCAGCACGGAACACAACCAAAATTGAGCACTGCATTACCCGCTTGAAAAATGGGCGTAGCGCGGACACGCACCAAGTGGAGACTTTATCGGCAGTGCTTGAAAATGGGTGTAGCGGAATAGTTCCAAAAAATGAGAATGGTCGTAAGGCACTGGAATCAGCCGAGCGAAAACGCGTTGATTGGCTATTCGCGTGGCTTTAACCAATCGACTTTCAATTTTTCTGTCAGAGCAAAATGTTCGTATACGGTTCTTCTTCGAATGATTTCGAGAATCGGGCCCCAGGAGACTCAACTCCTGCTTAAATCAGTGGTGGGGTTAGGCTAAAATGTGGTCGCATTTCATACGTGGACAACTTTAATAGCTTGTTGTGATACGTGGACAACTTTAATAGCTGGATATGGACCATTTTCGTTGTTCTAGTTTTAGAAACGAGACCGTTTAACCTTTTACGAATAATGCTACGGTATTTGCAAATCATGTTTATACAAAAAATTATTTTTATTCGAAAAATTAGTTTTTAGGCTACTTATCTGTGAAAGGAGATATTTTTCTCGTTGTTTCTGTAAACCGCACGCACAACGGGATTTCATTTTTCGCACGTTTGCAAATTTCAAAAAGGAAACGAAAATCTAAACTAAAATGTTCTCTCTGCGACTATAATAACGAAAACATAAACGTAAACCACGTCCATGGATCGGACAAATAATTACGCGGTACATTGATTGATAATTTTTTTTTAATTAAATATGAAAAAGAAAAGAGGAATCTCAAGCTGTGATGATTCTCAAACGTCGAATAAATAACATTGTACTATTCTCTGGTGGAAATGTTTTATAATTTTTTACAAAAACGTTGAGATTTTTTAATACAAATTGGAACACTTTTCAAAAGTACCGAGAAAATTTATATCTTTTCTAGGACTTTTGATACGTACGAATTCTGAAATATTCTGAAATTTCTCATTCTATAATTTGAAACATTTATATCTCAGAATATTCACATGTATGAAAAATTCTAAGAAAAGAAGCGGACGTTCTCAATATTTTCGAAAAGCGTAACAATTCTGGGAAAATATTTCATACTCTTCGAGTATGTATTTAAGACAAAGTTAACTAGAAAAATGGACTATAAACAGGCCTTAGTGTGCACTCAGTGCGCACTAGTCACGTAACGTTAGCTCACTTTTGCGTTTTCCCCGTTGCTGCTCGAGTCTCACCGTTTCGAAATTCCCGCAAAATGGCGAGTCGGCGCCGGCCGGCGAGATATCGAGGAGTCTCGAGAGTCGCGCGCGGCGGCGACCTCTCGACGGGCTCCAATTGGCTTCGATAATTGCAAATGGTCGCTTAATAACAGATGATTGAAGGCGGAGCGCGGCGCGCGGCGTGGCATTTATCTGTCAAAAGCGGTGGCGGCCGGCCGACGTACGTTGTGATGCGCCGCCGGCTGACGCGCGTCCGTTGAGCGTTGAACCGGCGAGGCCCGCGGACCCGTGTGGACGCTTACCCGGCGGCGGTCGACCGACGGCGGGCGACGGGACGACGGCACACACACGGCGGCGACGACGCGACGGGAGCGAGAGTGCGACAGAGAGGGCGAGACGCGCGAGCGTGCGGAGCGGGCGACCTTTGAATAACCGACGCGTACGTTTATTATTATGTGATCGCGGCTTGCGGGCGGGTTGACGGCGCGCAACAAGGTGGACGACGGGCGTGCGAGCCGAGGGAAAGATGCGGAGCAGCGACGTTTTCTGCTACCTCATCGTGGCGACTCTCGCCGTTCTGCCGACGCTCGGCCGCGCAGGTGAGTACGCACGTTGGATTTTATTCTCGCGTACACATTGTGTGGCGGCGGAACAGAGAGAGAAAGAGAGAGCGAGAGAGAGTGCGAGAGCGCGAGAGAGAGAGAGAGAGAGAGCGAGAGAGAGAGAGAGAGAGAGAGAGAGGGGGGGGGGGAGAGTTTTGTGCGTGTGTGTGTTTTGTGTGGTGTGTGCGTGTGTGTCGTGCCAGGCCTGCTGTCTGGCTGGTAAATTAAAGCTCGAGCGGCCGCGAAATTGGTTCGTCCGAAGCCCGCAGTTACCCCAGCTTACAAGCCACAATGGTCTTCTTCCGCTCTTTCTCGCTCCCTCTCTGTCTTTCTTTCGCCGTGCCTCTCGGTCCCCGCCGTCTCCGTCGTTCCCTGGCGAAATCGCTGGGCCCGAGGGACGAGCGGGCACCCTCGGCCGCTACGCGGAATCGTCCGGAACACGTGTGTGACGCGCCTCTCGTGCGCCTCTCGTTCTCGCGTTTCCGACGGTCCAAAGCCGAAAACGAAGCGGCGGAAATGCCTTCCTTCCCTCTCCCCCCTCCCTGCACACGAGAAGTATCGATAGCTGCCGACGTGTTATCCATATTTTTCAATGTTACTCTCACAATGATAAGAAACTCGACCGTTGTATATAAATAACGAAAGCAACGGAAACGTCCGTACGCGCGCGAGCTGGATCTTTTGGCTCGACTAATAATTTATTTTTGCGCGTGCATTCTTTTTCTCAACGCGGCAAATTATTCTTATACCTCGTCGTCTCCTGAATAGAACGGTAGAAAAGGCAACTCGGTCTATTCTCTAACTCGAAACCGAAAGATTCTTATCCCCGGAGTAGCGAAGATTTAAGATGGGAAGAAGTTGCGTGCACACACACGGAGAGAATTTCCCTTTACAATTTATCCGGAAAATTTTATAATCGTGGGACAACACGGCGTTTTGAAGAATTTTATGACTTTTGGAAATTTTATCGTTATATTTTATTAGTAAGTATAGAGGAAGGTCTTTTTCAATTTCACAAACGTTTTTTCGCAACGATCACGCGCACGATCTAACAGTGCATTTTCCATTAGACAGATTTCACTCCACGGGCAATAAATTTATGGTGGAACCAACGGACGATGCCAATTAATTTAGCACAAACCCCGCTGTCTCGTATTAGGAGCCTATCTCATAATAAGGGACTTTCCTCTGCATTTCACTAGTGAAATGTATGGTAAAATTTCAAAAACTCTCATAATGCTCTTCGAGATGTCGTGTTGTTCCACGATCACACGATTCTCAGGATAAAACCTTAAGAGAAAGTTCTCTCCGTGTATAATGGAAAATATACTTTGGACGTTAAAATGTCATACTTTTCGTTTCGCCTCTAGGGTATCTCCAAGAAACCGCAATACTGTTGTGAGATGACCTAATATTATAATTACGTGTAGCTTTTACGCGCGAGACGCTTCTTTAATGCGCTTCGTATAATTGCGGGAAGTACGGACGGCGATAATTTAGCAATATCGCGCTTTGCAATCTGTCGACGGTACGCGCGATACGATAAAAATGCAAATAATCGACGCGACAATGCTGCCGAGGATTGTGTTTAAAAAAAATATGGAGCTGCTCCGAGAGGACAGGAAAATAAAACTCGGTATCGAAGGAAATTCCATTCGCGCGAATTTCTCTGTCTGCACCGTGAAAAAGCGATATAAATAACGAACGCGACAGTTACACTATTAACGATGAAAATAGCAATTCACTTGCTTTTACAGAAATTGTCTTCTTTTTACTCTTGTTGCGTAAATAATTGACATTTGATGGAGAATTACGAAAAATGGCAAAAATCCAAATGTACTTCTTCAGTAGACGATCCCAATATTACTCACTTTAATAGTTGTAATTTTACTTGAAATTTCCGTACAGTGTACGCAATTTTGCAGATAAAAGAGAGCCGTAAAAAGAGCCACGATAAAAATATAAATTCATGTACTTTTACAAAAATTGTCTTTTTCACTCTTGTTGCGCAAATAATTGATATTTGATGAAGAATTGCGAAAAGTCGCAAAAATGTTCTCCTTTAGTAGACGATTCCAATATTTAATATACTTGTAATTTTACTTGAAATTTCAGTACAGTGTACGCAGTTTTGCAGATAAAAGTGCATTGAAATAACGAACGAATATACCTACATCTCGCTTCGCATTGCTCCCTTCTTCTTTCTGTTGATCGAATACCAAATAGATTGCACGTCTCGCGTCTCGATCTTTGTTGAAGTATATCTTTCTTCGCATCGCGCTCGCTGATTTATCGTCTCTCGCATTTTTACGTTGCGTCCAGGCTGTTACGAAAGCGAATTTGAAGCGCTTATTAGCGCGAGGACTCCTCGCGATAATTACGAAGCGTGCGCGACGAATTCATTTGCGGTAATACACGGATTTTTTTTAATCTCGTTGCGCATTTTCGAGCGGCACATCCACACCAATATACTTGCCCCCTTTTTTTCATTGCGTGACATAATCGCCGATAGCTGCGGGGTAGAAATCGGACCGTGACGCAATTAGCGCCGCGTCAGTTTATTGCGATATTGAACTGCATTGCTCTTTTTGATTGCCAACTAATGCGTGCCGGATAGTTTTTATCTCCTGTGTACGTTTCATACAGACGACACGTACAACGATACGTTTGTCGTGCGTTATCGTGTCATCGTTTCTCGCGAAATTTTCTGCTTGGCGGATGGTATTTTTTCGTTTCGTTGCCGCCAACGTTTCGTTGAATCTGTCATCGGGAGAAGGCGACGGGTAAACCGCTGACCAAAATCATGCACACCAATGCCCACTAATGCCCAGTGGGCATTACTTAGGCCTGGTTTCACCAACGTCGCTTAACTTTAAGCTTAGTTTAATTCGCTCTTTGTCTCTTTCCAACTGTTACTTTAGAACGAGACAAACATTAAACTAAGATTAAAGTTAAGCGACGTTTGGTGAAACCGGGCCTTAGTCTTGTTTGTTTTATTTTCTGTTATTTTGTCTTTATAATGTCCTAGCAAGGCCTAATGCCCAAAATAATGCCCAAAAAACGCCCAGTAATGTCCAGTAATGCCGCAAATCTGTACACCACAATGCCATCAGCGGTTTACCCCTCGGAAAACTACAATAATAACGCATCAAAATCGAATGAAATTAGTTCATCAATTCGATGGTAGTAAGCAGTAGGTTTATCACGTTAAAAAGAATCTAAATGTTACTTTATCTTATTTTATCTTTATCTAATGCCCCAGCAAAGCCTAATGCCCAAGAACTGCCCAGTAATGCCCAATAATGCCGCAAATCTGTACACCACGATGCGGTTTACCGGTGACTCGTCGGCGGGCGAGTGTCGGTTTATCTTGGAAAATTACAATTTTTCTTTCTCGACCACGTTAGAGATTTTCCGGCAAAGCCACGACGGTTCGTCGGCCACGCGATTGCACGGGTTCGCCGCGATCGGCGTCGACGTTTAACGTTTTATCCGCCGTCTGTATTTATTGATCGTACATCCGCGTCGGTCGTACCCGTCGGCCCGCGTCTCGAAAACGAGACAGCTCGACGATGTTACTGGCTCACGCACGCCACATCGTGTCCAACGAGTCCGCGTTAATTTAAATAACCGGAAGGTTATATAAGCGCGCGCTCGCTTGAGAATTCGTTGAAAAGAAAACCGGCGAATATATCGGTGCGGGCGCGCGCGTTCCGGAACGCACCTCGGCATCCTCGGTGGGCGAGGAAACGCGCGATTTCCACCGCCTACGATCCGCTCCGACTTTCATTGCGCGCGTTCGTTTATTTGACTTACACGTGTACCGCACGTGGCCGGCCGCGTCCGTGCATTCGTGCGCGATAACGGAACAATATACGGAGCGTTAATAACGAGAAAACGCAGTCGAGTGTCCAAAATAGGTTCGAGTCGAGGGGTAAACCGCTGACCAAATTCATGTTCACCGATGCTCTCTAATGCCCGGTGGACAGTACTTTATCTTATTATCTTATTTATCTTGTTTTATCTTATTTTATCTTATTGTATCTTTATAATGCAAGGCTTAATGCCCAAACTAATGCCCAAAAATGCCTAGTAGTGCCCAGTAATGCCGCAAATCTGTACACCACAATGCCCTCAGCGGTTTACCCCTCGCGAAAAACTCTCATAAAGTTCTTCTAAATGCCATGTTGTCCCGCGATTACACGTTTCTCAGGGTAAATTTTCAAAGAAACTTCTTCGTGTAGCAATGCCCGAAATCTGTACACTACAATACCCTCAGCGGTTTACCCCTCGGTTCAAGTAGAGAAAGGTCCCCTATTATGAGATACGATTCAATTTCGCAAATCTTTTTTTTTCGCAACGATTACGCGCACGATCTAACGGTGAATTTTCCACCGAACAGATTTCACTCCAAGGGCAATAAATTCACGGAGGGCCGACAAATAACGCCTAAATTTAGGCAGAAACTCCGCTGTCTCATATTAGGAGCGTATCTCGTAACAGGGGACTCTCCTCTACCTTCGGCGTATCGGTTTTTTTGACGCCTTTCTCCCGTATAGTATCTCTTTTCCCACCTTCTTCCCCAACCAATTTCCGTAAAAGGGATATTCGACGAATGAAATACGCTTCGGGTAATCCCAAGTGAAGACTTGGCCGTCCTACGTGGGGTTATTCACGGCTCGTACATAATAAACGAGACGAGTCCGCGAGGGATACCGTGTTACGCGTCCACGTGAAATCCTTGGGTGGATTCGCGTTTACGCGGCGAAACTCGGTCGGACGAAATTGGATAGTCGACGCGGAATTGCGCGAAGACACGCAAGGAGTATTCCCGTAGCTTTCTTTTCGAGTAACATTTAGTTTTATGGGTATCGTCGTAACGCGCGTTTTCACTCCGAGAATATTGAATCTGCATCGGGGGACTCTGCGCGCTCGCTCTTTTGCGTATTCTTAGCATATTCTTTCGCCGTGTATCAACGACATTATTTAAGAGCCACGCGATAGCGATAGCAGCAAGTCGATACGTTTCCATATCTCCTGCGCGAGGCTTGCGGAATTGCATCGGTTCCGCGTCGTTGTTATCAGGAATGCTCCGTTGATCGCGATGTTTTTCAATAATTCAAGACACTGGCAGCTGTCTTTCATTCCTTCGTACGGGATCTCGGCAACGTATCAGTTCGAATTCTCCTTTCTGTAAATTTAACGACGCGTTCCTTACGTCCCTTAACGCGCGACGTTCTCATTTATCTTTCAAACTCCGAGTCTAATAAGCGCATCAAGATTTTACGCCGCTGTTCGGGATCCGTAAGGCCTAATCTGCAATGTGCTTTTTGCGACAAGAAACGTTCTATTTTGCATAAGCAAATCGATGCGCGTCAAAAATGCATCGACAATGTACGATTGTACGATGCACCATTTGGCAACTTGCTTAAATTTTGTAATATATTTAAATTACGTATCTAATTTATTTTTTTTACGTATTTATTGGCTGTAAAATAGAATGTTTGCGGACGCAAAGGGCACACTGTAGACCCGGCTGTTCGGATAATTCGGGACTGCTTCGACGAGCGTTTGTTCGCGGCGATTATGCCCCTCATTCTCTTCCGATGTCGCTTCCGGATCCTAAGTTATCGAGAAGAAGACAGTTACATAATCCGCGTGTAATCTTAACCCACGGTAGGAATGTTCTCTTTGAATGGAATTCCCCTCCGATTCCGGCACGCTTTAACGGCGCGGATCGCCCGCTGCGAGACTTCATGAAAGCGAGATGAACGGACTCTTTGTTCACTCGAACGATCCGATTTTACGACGTTATCGCGGAAAAGTGATCCGTATTGTGCGCCGCGACTCCACCGGAATGCAATAAATGAATCGAATACGATATCCCGAAAGCCTGAAACCGTTGAAACTCTACGCCAACGACGGCGAATTTGCCGGTCTGAATTACGCCTGATTATACTCGGCGCGCTCTACGATCCGGGGCCGACGGAACATTTGTGGCGGCATTGTAAAGTTTACGATAATTTTTACAAGCCGGAGATGCGTAATGCTAATTTTACTCGCGAGTGTAAAATCTTGGCGCGCGAGAAACCTTGTGTTTTTCTCCCCTCGACGTAAAATTCGCGTTAAGGCCCGAACACACGAAAGCCTCAAGCAGCGAAACTTAAACCAATCGGAATTTTTGGCATTGCTTAAGTTTCAAAATGGCTGCTTGACGTTCCCGACAGTCATTGGCTCGTTTCCCCTCAAGCCTTAAGTTTTACTTAGCTTAATTTGTTTCGCGTGTCCGGGCCTTTACTCTTTAGTCGCGGCAATTTGCGTAATGACGTGTACATTTTCGCGCGTTTTCACGTCGATATTTCAACGGGGAGAAATCACGCGGGACGACGTTATATAGGATTAGCGCACAACGCCAGCCGTTTTAATAAAAACCGAGCCCCATAATACGCTTGATTCAACCTCAGTGCGGTTAACTCCCCGTATATGCTGTTGATAAAACGAATTCATCTCTATTAACTGATTCAGCCAATCATGCGTCACGCGGGCTCGATGCTACGAAAATGCCATTCATCCTCGTGTCCCTTTGTGTCTTCTGCTTTGGATGAGATAATGAAACGTTGGCCGGCGATAACGAGACGGATAAGAAACGCAGCGCGTTCGATTAAGACTCGCATTCACGCGATGATCATCGATTCATACGTGTGGCGTGCATGTCGCATTGTCTTGACAATTTATCTTCTCGAGATTACACAGGCAGTCTCGAACAAAGCTTTCGAATCGTACGTAATTTGCGCGAGCTCTTTATCCGCTGCAAGATTTATTTGTAAGATTTTATCGCGTTTTCAGTAAGCGTTTTGTTTTGTTTTATTAGATAAAACGATCAATCTTTTCAGAATATCTCGGAGGGCAATTTTTTCCTCTTCATTCGCTATCGCGAAAAATTGTCGCAATTACGTGGAACGCAAACGTTATCTGATCTGTCGTAATTTTGTGGTATTTAAACATTATTCTTGTCGTTTTGATGAATTGAGTTAGCATTATTTTGCCAGCAATACTTCAACGGCGAACGAGCGAAGCGAATCTCTTTATTATCCCAGCGAACAATGCGAGTATTGACAAGAATGTTTTCAGTCGACCAGATTAACGCGTTGAAGCTTTATTGAAGCTTCTTGCGTGCAACTTGAGAGTAACGACTCGTGCTACATTGATCAGAAAATTATCCTTCTATGATGTTTTTTCGTGGATTTTCCAGCGAACACTTATTTCCCGAGCCGCTTTAAAATCACCTCTGTGTTACGTACATCGTGAAATATAAAACTCGTACGAAATGATAAATGTAATGGGTCTTGAGAGGTCTCGCAATTTTTCACAAACGTTTCACACAAATGTTCTTTCGTTATGTGTCGCGAAGAAGTATTCGATTTTCAATTCGTCCGACGCGTAAGTACGGCTGCAACGTGAGGCGGTTTGGGTTTGGATTGCGAGCTGACTGAATGCAGGCCGCTGGACGCTGGATCGACCTGGCGATTCATTCGCTCTCTTAAAGCATTGATGGCGATTCTTTTCAGAGAGCGATGACAAACCGCACGCGAAGAGGACGTGCAACACCTCGGACCTCAGCGAGCAGTGCGGCAAGAATCAGAGGTGCTACCAGGGCAGCGACGGCCAGCAGTTCTGCGACTGCCAACGAGATTTTTATTTTGCTCACGGCGAGTGTATTAAAATCACATCCACGACGGCGACCGTCGACGTTACCACCCTCAAGCCAGAGCAGAGGTCCGAGTCAGGAGGTACGTGCACGCTGGGAATATTGCGCCATTGAATGTTTGTGCTTGCTCTTCATCGTAGATTTGACGGTGGAAAGATTAGGGACGTCTGTTCTTTTAACTGACGCTTGGGATTTAGATAACGTCGCGCCTATCGCTTTTTCACGATATATTTCGGAAAACGTCTCGCGGGCAATGTGCGGTCGGTCGCGCGTCTATAAGCGTTTTTCACGATTAGATAACGCACGGTTTAACTTAATTATTATTCATTCGCTGATATGACAAGGAAATGGCGGAAGAATAAGACCGAGCCATCCAAGTTAAGAACTAGCAGATAGTTGACGCCAAAAGTTGGCGACTAAATCGTCAATCACTTTGATCCCAGGTAGCTCCGTGGCCGCCGGTCTGCTAATACCCACCTTCCTCATAGTAGTCGGTGTACTACTGTACTTCGGCGCGAGACGGTACAAATGGCTACAACGATTTCGGCAGTACCGTCACAATCGGTACGGCAATGTCATAGTGACGAGAGACGATGACGACGACGACGACCCACCGATAGCGTAAAATGATAAGTAGAATGCGAGGGAGAATTTGTAGGGACGCACAGGCCGCGTGTACCAAACGTGATCGAACTTGAACTAGGTGCGATGTATGCTTGTCTGCCGATAGAACGTATGTAATTCGAGGCTGTAGCGGTCTTGTGACGTGGGAATACATGCACATATATATATATTCGGTCGGCGACGCTTGTTTGATTCCCTTGGGAATCGTCACTGTGCAATTCCGTGCGGGTATCAGCAGGGAAGTACAGGTGTTAGGAGAAGCGAGGGACGAAAATGAATTAAGAGGCCAAATGTAAAGATGCACTTGCCCGAGTAATTATGCTTTTACATTTAATACAATGTATACTCATATAATATATTATATATCGACTATATATCGAAATTATATCATTTCAATATACGTTAAATATATAATAAAAATATCTAATTGTGGCGGCCTACGGCAGCCACAGGGCGCCGCGCCGTAAGGCACGCGCCTGAACACCGCGGAGTACGGTAGTTCGCGGCGCTACCGATAGGTGGCGAGGCGCGTGGGCGACAAACCTGCAGTCAAGATTTGGGCAACTCTAGGATAAAAGGAGGACCCCCGCGAATTTTAATCAGATCTCTCGTATTAATCTATCCAATTTTATTGCAATTTTATCCTATCTACGTAGAAGTATTTGCGTTTTCCTCTTGTTTATTCTCCAGGGAGAATAAAGGAAAACGGGAATACTTCTACGTAGATAGGATAAAACATGGTGGAAATACATAAGTGCTCGTTACCGATACCAATTTTCGTCCGGTTCTGCGCAGCTCCCAAGCGTCTCCATTTTAAGTCGATATATCGATACCTGGGAATCTGCAACGGTGTCTATATTGTCTATATTTATGGGTTGCTATAGCAACCCATAGAATGGACACCAGACTCCTACATTTAAAAAATATACTTTGTCAATAAATATATATGGAAACTGAAATTAAAAAATAATCGTTGCGCGAAAACGTATAAAATACATATTACTCTTTGCTCTTTATATTTCCACACAATAAATGCACTAGATATATGACTTTATAACTGCTTATAGAACGCTCGATTTGATTTAACCGCCACAATATGGACACCGTTGGGAGCAACTTCTCATTGGCTGTTCAAAACGATGCGCAAGAGCACACCTTATGTATTTCCACCATGGGATAAAATTGCAATAAAATTGGATAGATTAATACGAGAGATCTGATTAAAATTCGCGGGGGTCCTCCTTTTATCCTAGAGTTGCCCAAATCTTGACTGCAGGTTTGTCGCCCACGCGCCTCGCCACCTATCGGTGCCCTGTGGCTGCCGTAGGCCGCCACAATTAGATATTTTTATTATATATTTAACGTATATTGAAATGATATAATTTCGATATATAGTCGATATATATAATATATATTATATATACATATAATATATTATATGAGTATATATTGTAATTGTATACTTATGAAATTTAATCCATCTGTATCCATCGTGGACGTAAAAGCATTGTTACTCTCACGCTAGTTGCCGAATCTATATTTATATGTGATGGTTGTAAGGAATATGAGACATACTGGACTATGTTTATGATAATTCTAAGCATTCACTGAGAGCATAATTTTTTACATTGATATTAATAAGCTGGTCAGTAAATCTTACTATTATTAATAAGTGTATAATAATCAGGTGATCGTTTTTTCAACATCATCCTCGCTGTACTATTTAGGAAGCTGAAAGTTAGGAAAATTATATTAAATGTTGTGTCATTATTGTGGATAAGATCTATTCTCTTTTACAATACTATTCGATGAAGTCATGCGATTGATATACTGAATTTTTTCTCTAATTGTCTTAAATTGCCGTTTTAGGATAATCAACTTTTCTTTTTATCTCTCCAAGAAGTATTAAGTATTAAATTTAAGCTATACTCAAAATAGCTTGGATTGAAGTATTTAATACCTCTTGTAAATATCTTTTGCGACTTACAGGCAACAAAATTTCTTGTATTAATCTTTTACATTACTGCTATTTAACTCAATTTCTCATGCAAAATATCTGTTTCGTGATTCTTGTGTTTTTCATTGATAACGGATACCAAATAAACCTAATTATTTTTAGGAATCTAAATTAGTATATTTATCTGAATTGGAAGAAATTTGGTCGTGATCGCATTTATACCAAAATGTTGTTAGGCTTTTCAATCTCTTTGATATTTCTGTAACATAATAAAATGTGTAAATACTCTTCATTATTCGGGACTGCACACTCTTGCCAGCAACAATTTCTTCCTATAATTTAATCTAATTGTGATTGGAAGATATTTTAGCTGTATATCGTTTATGACGGACGAGGGCTTTGGCTCGTAAAAGATTAATAAAGTAAGCTTTCGAGAGTTATACATATTATATACGTATCCTATTCTTGTACTCTATCATTTTTGTACAGAATCTATGGTATGCATTAGCACCTGAAAAGATTGTAGCAATTATTCAGTGTATAGTAATGACTTTGATCACCGTTTAGATATGATATTTTTATAGAGTTCGCAAGTACAAATCTAAGAAGTGGCGAGTGTGGTACTGGCGAATTGCTATTGCATTAGTTTTAATACAGCGACAACAAACGTTCATTATTGATCCAAAGTATGGCTAGTACTGTCTGCTCATTTGTTATTACGTCGGTGCATTTAAATAATTTGACTGAATACCCTGTTACTATTGCAGCCACGTTTACACAAAAGTCGTAACAAAATATTTGTTGGTTTCTTGCCTAGGTTTGTGTTCACATGTTTCCCACCTTTTTTTCCACCGGACAATTAGATGTTTACAACGATTGCAAATTTTGTGTATGCGTGGCTCCGTTAAGTTTTCAATCATGTCTCTGTGATGATGTATTTTATGTATATGACTGAATCTTTATTGTTGATCGATTTTCTCGGCATAATGATCTAACATGAAATAGTTTCAATGTAAATATTCCTATTGCAGATAGGCAGATACCAATGTTCGATACATTTCTGTTTTTTCATATATAGGATGTGTCTGAAAAGTCTGATCAAACGTTTTGTTCCATTGACTTTTTGAAATTAAAACAATTGATATCGACATATATTCGAGGAAAACTTTTATTTCGAGGTTGTAATATACTGTTAATAAATTGTTGAACGTGTATTTTTGCAATTGATTTAAATTAAATTAAATAATTGTAAATTTAGTAAATTTAAGTTAATTTATTGTAAATTATTGTAAATTTAACTTAATTACTTTAATGACAAGTCAATTCCAGATTTTTCATAAACACCCTATATATTTTGCACATTAACAGGCAGTGTAAGTAGCAGCGTTATTTAAGGTCATTTGAGAAAAATTGTCGCTTTAAACTTTCTAGTACGAAGTTATTCGATTACTGAGTTTCTCGACCGTGTAATGTTTATGAATTTCTTATAATGGCAGGTATTCCGTTGTGTAATTCATGTCATTCGTACTATAAAGTACAAATACAAATAAAGGTTGAAAAATCCTGCAACTGAACATTTTCAGTTACTGCTAACGTTTGCAGATATTACAGCCATCAAAGTGTGGAGTAGGGCAATGAAGAACAAGTAAGTATATTTTCTCACTCTTTTATGTCATACGTAAATATCGACATAGCTTTAAGACAAGATATACGCTCGGGAAGACTTATCCGCTAGTAATAGCTATCGAATTCGGCGATAGAACTTAATATACATATATAATTTTTGTGTTCAAAGGACCAGATATTTTGAATCGCAATTTAACTTGAACGTATGTGCATAGAATATAAAGTTACACGATTATTTACAAGTTTGTTTATAATTAAGGAAAATGAAGATAACTTTTTCAGCACCTCCGAAACCTCAGTGGCGATTTCGATTAACGTGAACGACGTGCATTAATGTCCGCAAATTAAACTGTTATTACAAGGTATCACGTTTTAAGATCGGTCATTGTATCACGTTGCTAGTTCAGAGAAAACGAGTTTGTTATGTGACGTGTGCTGCAGCGTCTGTGTAGTGCTGCATCATTTCAAGTGGACCTAGTAGTCATTCAGAATTTCCCTAGCGAAGATCTCAGAACGAGTTATCTCTGATCGGTGTTATCATTGAACATTAATCCTGCCTTTGCTTTTCATCGCAATACGCGTAAATAATAATGAGTCTCGATAATTGTCATGACGATTAATATCTCATTGTTCTCCGCGTGTATTAAAATATGGTTTCCTTCCCAAAGGCATGGCGTAGCGCCACGTTTGCGATTTGTGACAATAATCTCCCCCCTCGTCCGTTTTCCAATCTCTTAATTTCCAATAATTTATATCGCCTCGAAATCACGCGCGTTATTATCACCTAACTGAATCGTCCGCAGATTATTTTCTACCCTCAGAGCGGCGCGACTGGTGCGTCGCGCGTTCTTTGGAATGAAAGACAGTGATTATCTGATTGCGACAGGGTCGAACGCGATGGGTCCGTTCGCGGAAAGTCAGTTTCATAAAAGAACGCAGCATTCTTCTTCCATGAAAGTGTCTTTCTCAAATCGATCGGTGGCAGCATAAATTAGTCGTTTAGCGCTCGTGAGGCAAGATGTACGCCTCGTGAAATCTCTCAAACGCTTCCTCGCAACACTCGTAATCGGTGTATCAACGATGTATATCTCGTTAGTACGCAGTGTAATCTTGCCATGGTCTCTGTCTGTATTGCGCTCCGCTGACCTGTATAGCCTCCGGCGTCCTGTAATACACCGTTCGGCTCCGGTCGTTATTGTTGATGCTCGTCGGCAGGAACTGAGGACTCGGAACGAACGATTTTTGTTGATGTTGATGTTGTTGCTGCTGTTGTTGTTGCTGCTGCTGTTGCTGCTGCTGCTGCTGCTGCAGTTGTTGCTGCTGATTGACCGGCCTGGTGAGCTTGTAGTTGTTCTCGGAAGGCTGTAGCACGGTGTCCCTACCTAGCTGCCTGTGAAGGGGCAGGACGAATCCGCTCGGCAAATTGGCTTCCTGAACCAACGTCGGCGTCAGGGCGTCATTTAGAGTAACGTCGTATTCGCTCTCGGGGATATCCTGAAGCCGATGCGTCACTTCGTTGAGCCTTTGCTTCGCTCTGTAACTGCCCGGTCCCGACGGTAGGTCCTGTATGTCCTCGTTCCTGTACGTCGAGCTGTAGATGTTCGACGTGGTCTCGACGGAGGGAAGTCTCACCTTGCTGCGGATCGGGGAACCCGAGGGTGTCTGCACGCTGCCGACATTGGCGTGCTTTTCACTCGAGTAATTCTCTATCCATTTGGGCGCCAGATTCTCGGTCTGGTGGTTGCGCGAGTCGTACGATTGATTCTGAGTAGAATATCCTTTGGAGGAGTTGGACAGATCTTCCGAGCCTCTCGAGACTTCCTCCTCGGTCTTTTCCGTCGGTTTTCGTAGCGCTGGTCTGGCTATCGCGCTATCGTACTCTTCCTGGCGTTGTTTCTTCTGAATGTCGCCCTGGACAGCTTTGTACGCGTCGTACGTTTGCTTATCGTCCGATCTCAGAGGTGACTCCTGATGGTTAACGTTCCTACTGTTTTCTTGTTCCTCGTGCACGTAGTAACCTCTGTATTCGTTTTCGCTTAAAGTGCTTCGGTGGTCGGTCGTTGTCTCTTCGTCTCTTCTCGGCGAATGCGGCGCTTTAGAGCCGACCGGCGATAATCCCCTCGGATTGGGATTACCGCCTCGAGACGGTAGGAAAGGCCTTTTCACGATTCGAACGGTGGTTCGAGGTGGAGGAGGAGACGGTGGCTCTTCTAGAGGCTCGTCGTAATACTCGGAGGAGTATTCGTCCGGGTACGCGACCTGCTGCTGATTCTGTTCGTTTCTACCTTCCAAGTTTCTATCCTGGTAATCTACTTGCTGAGACGGTCTCTGAGATTTCTCCGACAAATTTCTGTGATAATCCTCAGTGTCGTCCACTACACGACCACTTTGGGCCTGAGCGGGAGGTCTGGCTGGTCGTTCCGGATAAGATGGCTTTTCCGATCGATCAGTCACCGGCTCTTTAGAGTCTTCTTCAGGTTTGCGAATAAGCTGTTCTGGCAAGCAGGTGGTCGTAGTTGTGGTGGTTGTGGTAGTGGTAGTCTTCTCGGTCGTTCGATCGTACGAGTTGGGTCTTCTGGACACTTCAGTGGCGTCCGATAGATCCTTCGATCTCGAAGAGGATCGCGGTCGCTCGGTGTCCCTCTCGCGATCGAGAAGCCGAGGCGAGTACGGTCGCTCCTGCCTGTCGGAATCTTGCGACCGTCCTCGCGAGTCGCGATCCGAGGATCTCTCGGGACCGCGATCTTTTCCACGATCGAGGGCCCGATCCCTATTTCGGTCCCTGTCTCGATCGTAGTAACGATCCCTCGAGCGATCCTGATGTGTCCTGAGCCGTACCTCTTCCGGTGGATGATAACGAGTTCTAAAACACGAATTATTATTGCCGTTAATTGTAATATTAATTTTTGCCAATGGTTAATGAGAAGTTCAATGGTCGCATTAAACATTGATTCTCACAACACCTTTGTTTTCACCTTTGTCACAAAGAACTTTGAGAATTTCGTGTGAAAATTTTGATAACAGTAATTGTGGGTCAACGATATATTTTTTAATATTATCATTAAAATGAATGTGAAGTATAATTAGTGATTTATTATGATTTTGCTTTAATCACAATAACAAATTTAGTTTTTCTTTAACGAATACCCTTTATGAATATGATCTTGTTTAGTAGTTTAGTTGGTTGTATATAACTTCATCGGTGTTGCGTACGTTACCTTACCTGAGGGGACGGTCCCGGTCCCGAGTTTCATAGAAGTCCCTGTCTCTGTCTCTATCCCTGTACGAGGGCCTTCTTCTGAGCGGCCTCCTCGGTCTGATATCCTCCAACTCGTCATCGTAATAGTCATCCTCCAGGTCTACCGGCCTCCGTCGTGGCTCCTCTTTAATCGCAATTTTATTATGTTTTAAAGAGCGATTTACAACAAAGTTGCAACGCCGAGAATCTTTTCGGACAAGGTCGTACCTGTTGGCTGCGCAGGGGTGGTTTTGTACGCGTATCTATCTTGCTCCGAAAGTGGTACCGGTCGCCTAATCTTCGGCGGTGCTCTTGGCCGCGAGTAAACCGAACTGCTAGGCGCAGCCGGCTTCACCAGGCCTTCCGTATTGGACGACGCGCTCGCCGAAGGTGCCGCAGGTTCCTTATCGTCGTAATCATCTCTGTATCTGGCGTAAACAGAATGTAATATCAGGTTTCGTAAGCGTTGAAGCAATGTAAGATCTAAAAATGTTGCGTATGTAAGATACGTCGAAGCGATTTTCGATAGGATCGCCAGCAACGTGTTCTCACCTCTTATCGGCGTATCTTCGTTCATCGGTGTCCCGGTTTCTCGACTCCGGGCGTCTATCGTACGTATCTGTATCCTCAACCTCCCTCGACGTAGATCTGGCACCTTGATCCGGATTCCTTCCCCGAGGTCTCGGGTCTTCCTCCGGCGGGTCCCTCGACCTGGGTGGGTCTCTTCTGTTTCCCCTTGCCGAGTATCTGTCCCTACCGGCGTCTCGATCCCTATCGTCTCTACCGCGCGCTGGCGGATCCCTGTCCCGGAAGTCACGATCGCGGTCCCGGTCCCTGAACTCACGGTCCCGGTCCCGCCTGTACTTCCGATCGTCGTACTCGTAGTCGTCTCGGCCGGCAAAGTCACGAGGGCGACCGTACTCATCGTCGTAATAGTCTTCCTCGTAGTAATCGTAGGGTCTTCTTCTCGCTGGTGGCCTCCTTCTGGGTGGAATCCGATCGCGCGCAGCCGCTCGACTGGTCGGCGTGGTAACCGGCGCCACGGTAGTCGTCGTAGTCGTCGTGGTCGTGGCAGCTTGATAAAGGGCGTCGTTCCTGTGCCAGTACTTCTTGGAATTGGCGCAGTCTACCTCGGAGACGAAGTGGCAGATGAAGGTCTTCTGGTCGAACGCTGTGAAATTGGCGCACAGGAAGTCGTAGCGGGTGCCGAAGAGACAGTGATGGTAGACCTTGAGGAGGACACGCGTTAGAATTGTCGCGACATGTCTTGCCGTATCGAGAAGAGAATAGCGCGGCGTTAATTGCGATTAGGACGATTAAGAATATGGAGTGGACGTCGACGCCGGGCGTTTACGAAATCGCGAATTGCGATCGATGAGTGAAAGTGGGCGGCAAATCGGCGCCGCGCGACAGACTTTCGAGATTTTTGAAGGCCTCGGTCGTTTTCTTCACGATCGCCCGCCGCGCGAATCTCGCTCGCGATTCGTTACGTCGGCCGTCCCTCTCGCGGTAACGAAACGCCGGCGACATGACGATTTCAGCACACTTTTCACCGCGAACGAACGCGGGCGATCCCGCCGCACGCCACCACGTAACTTTCACACGGCGGCCGCGCGTGTGCGAGTGCGAATAATTGCACGGAGTCGCATAAATGTGCATTCTACGGCACGGCCGCGAGTGAAAAAGACCCGCGTCTGTGTGAGGGCCCGTGGTATTATCTGGAACGCACAAACGCCGTAGAATTATCTAGGGGAATTATCTAGAATCATTCAGAGCACATCCTTTCGATAAATGCCCGGCACCGTTTCACTGAGATCCCCGTAAAAAGTACCAACTCCGATCCCTGCCAATAATAGATCATGAATCTTACTCAACTCGCAACATGCAAATGTCAGACGATCGTCGAATATCTAATCGTGCGTCTAACGAGCCTCGCACGCACATACTATATAGCGCAGAATAATTTCAGCGCGGTTACAATCATTGTAACTTTATCGAAAGTTTATTCTTGCTCCTTGATCTCTTAGTTTCCTGCGATCAAACATTTCAACCTCAATCAATTGCTATAACGAGCCAAATTATCGCCGGGATTTACTTTAATGAATCACGTATAAAGCTGCGCGTTCGGAGATTCCGACCCCCAATAGTTTCAACTCTGTGAAGAATTTACGGTGGAAAGTCGGCAAAACGTTCGGCCGGTCGAGACCTCCTCTATGCCGAACGCGGAGAATAAATCGCGGTTATTTGCATGAGAAGCAGCGTTAGAATTATTCAGAACGCATCTCTCGAGGCGCCCTGACGAGCGTTTTCATGCGATCCTCGGGACCCTCGGTGCCGCGAGTTAAGGCCTGCGTTCACGACGCTAGACTTGGTCCAAGTTCTAGTTGATTGGCTACACATTTCTCGAAACTGGAACTTGGACCAAGTTCTAGCACCGTGGACGCAGGCCTTTACGAACGTTATCGTCCCCGTAAACGTTACGGCGCTGCATCGATCACGTTCGGAGGCATTGATCAGCAGGATCATTACAATTGTAAATGCCGCCCGAGGCCGGGAAGATTAGAAAATAATCCAAGCAATCGCGAGTGATTTCCTCGCAGGAAAACAGTGGCGAATTAATCGCCGCTCATTTCCCAATTTCTCTTCCGCGACAAATCTTTCGCAAAGCGCACAGGACGACCGCGCGCGGTCACTTCCCGGCGTCCCCTCCCCCCCCTTTTTTTTGTTACGACGCGCCGCTTAGAACGCGTCCCGGCCGACGAACCCGGGCTCGTTACATTTGCATGACAATGCTCCATTCGTTCTCCGCGGTCCCGCGAAAATGATCGATAAGAAAACGAGCCGAGTCCGGTCGGAAGGGGGCTACTTTGCAATCGCTTTCACAATTCTAGGAGCGCACGTGAATCGCGGAACGGTCAGGGACGGGAAGCGTAGCGGACCACGAAAGTCCTCTTCCTCGGCTTCTTTCCACGGGTGACCTTGTTATTGCGCCTGGGCAAAAGGTCTTCTCACTCTCGATATCGATTTCTACTCTGCTGCTTTTGCAATTGATAGCGAAAGATACGCGGTGGACCGATTATTTGGCGTTTCCTTGAAAGCATCTCTTGGATCGTTCCATCAACGTATGCACGTGTAATCGTCCGTCGCGATGATATTTGGGTAGCTTTACGTAGCTGACGTTTATTGCAAGTTTTCGATTAGTCGCGCAATTGCCAATTACATCCCCGTCTACCGAGGCCTAGCTTCGCCGACTATTTTCGTCATACGAATGTGAATGTATCGGAAATTGGAATCGCGACCATTTAAATTGCGGCGCGCGCGATCTTTTCGATTTTGTACAATAAATATTACGCCTCGCGCTTCCTACGTGTACATACGCACACAGTGTGCAATAATTGCTGCTTACTGCCTATGGTAATTACATCAAGACCGGGTAATTTTGTTTCATTCAAACGACGCGAACGAATCTGCAACGATGATTTCTCAATCGGTCGTTTTTATATGCCGAACCCGTGATGCCGGGATTTGCGGTGAAACGATCGCTCTCAGCGATGCGATGATTGGTAAAAGTGTGCTGAATCGATACGCATTTTTTTGCATTCGTGTCTCGCCCGAGAACTCGCTTTCGTTCGTGCTTGCCCGCGTAGATGTCAACTTATCAATCAGGCCTTCGCAGACACCATCGGCCGATCGCTGGAATCGAATAGTGATCGCTGCCTTCCGCCAACATTAGAAATTAGAAGGCAACGCTCTCGGATCATTGACACCTGTTTATTACGGCGAGGGAAACATCGTCGTGTTGGCAGATCTTTCTTTAGAATTCGTTCAGGCGACAAACTCTTGATTTCCCTCCCGCCGCGTTGGAATCGGCATCTTTTTTTATCCAAGAGATAATTCCAGCTTATCGCCCGTTGAAATTGCAAACGTAGCAGCGTCGATGTTTTAATAAATGGATTTCAATCGGCGCTTGCGCCATGTCGCTCGGCGCAACGGGCGTCGTTCGGCGTAGAAATTCGCGCTACTTTTGTTCTTTCTAAAAACCACTGCTATTTTCTCGACTAGATATTATTTCTATAATGTGTCATTAAATTTTAATTACCTGGCACTTGTGCGGCACACTGGCGTAGAATCCGTCGTGCAAGCCGTCGCATTTGAAATCGATATCCTCGGGTATACTATTGTAGAATGGATAATCACTGAGATTATAGCCGTTTAACTCGCGCGGTAGATTCGGATCCCATATGTAATCGATCTGTGGAATTCCCGTCAAAGTGTGCCCAGTCGTTCCGTTAGTCTCGGTCGCGACCGTTGTCGTCTGGAAAAACGAAATGAATTGCAGTCTCTCCCCTTTGCTCGACGAATTAGTGGCATCGAAGAGTCGAAGGATCTGAGAAATTGGAAATTACTTTATTCCATTGCGTCTCGTAAAATGGCTTTCATTTCTTGCGGGAAACCGGAGCCCTCGATACCGATTTTGCCGTAATAACAGTTTCCGTGTATTGTGGACGGAAAAGCGCGTCTGATAGACCGATATCTTGTAGAAAAGTTATTTCACGCTCGAAGGAGCGGCTACGTCGCGCTATAATGATTAGGGATGAGCCCTCGGATTCGATTTGATGATGTCACATTCGCTCGTTTGTGTGCGAAGGTGAACCTGTCGCGCGTGAGTTTGCTTGAACGTTAATTGATTTGACGCCGGCGTACATTAATCAAAGTGCTACGGCGCCTCCGCAGATGCAAATACAGACGAGTCGCGAGTGCTAAACCGGATTTACGTGGCGCGGGAGTTTACGCAGTGCCGTGTTCTCGTGATTTGGAACACGGCGCGCCGATGTTTATCGTATTATCACGGTGGTCAACGCGCCCTAACTTGCTTCCTAAGATGTATTACCGGATAATTTATGTCGTGTCGCGTTTGCGAGACTCCCCACTCGTTCGCGAGGAAGCACTGGCGAAATGAGAACTCGTTTTGTACACGATCGTCGTGACTGTGGCGTCGGTTTTGCAACGATCGACGATAGACGGTCATGTTTCGCTTACGTCGTGCCACCTGAACAACACGACCGCGCGATTTCGAATAAGGATGGTACCGGTATAATTTTGGTTTAATAGTTTTGATAGAAACGTGCACACGAATTTTTTCACTCCTGTCTACAATACGAAAGATTGAACTCGTCAGAATTATCTCGATCATTGATTTAGGACACATCGGTCTTAATAATGCAAAATTGATCGTACTTGAAGACGCAATATCAGGATTCACGTAGTTACTCATGTGCCAAATTCTATTAGATTCACTTAATATACACCTAGAAAAAAGTTTCATTGAAATGAAACTTTTCTTCGAATTTTGACCTTACCAGACTTCTACTTAATTTCAACGAAATGATTTCTTTGTCCTAACAAAACTTTTATTTTATTCCAATTTTAGCACCATAAATATTTTTGTTATTACATGTAATTTTTTTCAGTTATCTTTCGTTGTATTTACTTAGTTTAATTTTATTTAGTAGTCTCTAAAAATCAATCAGAGTATTATCATTGTGATTTTCAGTAGTATTCTTGTAACTGTAAATCAGTGACTATTGATTGTTTTTAGTGATAACCCACTGATTGAC